ACTCATCTTTATACTTTCATTAGCTAGATTTTACAACCTGGCCTCTGCCCCGATAATTAAATTCATCATCCATATACCTTTAAGTTCATTGCTTCAAACTTGCCCCATGTTTTTGCTGTTAGCCTTTGTCCTGCTCTTTGGTATGTCACTAGACAGGCTGAGCATTCAGTAAACTATGCTGTTCAGATTCTTGCATAACATTCTAGTTTAGAACACAGTAGTCTTTTTGTTTTAGAGAGCCAAGCTAAAGAATGTTCTTGTTTATGTGGTGGCAAATAATCTCAGATGTTATCTAGGAACGTATATCATACTACTATACATTTTTAAAATACTTTACATAAGTCAGCTCATAATTATGCAGGACATTGAGGAGAATAGTACTATCTGAAACAAAATGCTGAAAACGATAATTGTTTTGGAAATGTAATCCAAAAGTACACTCACATACATGTCAATGTGTGCTTTGTGTCCTAAGTAATTCAGTAACTCACGCAGGCTCTTTGTCAGCTTTCCCCCATGTTAACTGAGCCAACATGATGGTAGGAAGCGCTGCAAATAACTGTTTATCAAGTCTTGGCTGACCTTTACTAAGTGGCCATTTGTCAAGGTGGCATTAAAGATAGTTTTAAATCCATTAGATATTTATTTAAGGACTTGAAGATCCTCCAGCTGGAACACCGGTATACTCAGGTATGTAACTCAGTGTTCACAAGAGAACATTCTCTCTCAAGATCTTTGCCTTCCATAATCAATTCACAACCTGCCCTTCCTATTTGCACCCTTGCAACTGAGCACCAGTTAAATAAACAACTTCCTTACAACTCCAGAATGTCTAAAAATTATACTCCAAAAACCCTTGGGCAGACAAATGTCATTGATCCCAATGTCACATTCAGGAAGTCACTGATCCAAGTACCATATTCAGCAAATTCCCAGGCATGACCAAACTTGCTAGAAAACCAAAAAGGGGAAATCTGGGAAGTAGGCCAAGATCCTGGGTGTCATTGTACAACATCCAAGCCAACTCCGGTTTCAAAATTCTTTTGAAATTGTTACTCCATGATAGGAATGCATTCTGTGCTTGGCCACAGGTCATCACACAAGGAATTCATTGCAGAATTGTTCTTGCACATTGCTGGTTTTTCGCAACAGGAAAATTTAATCCTTGGTAAAGAAAAAAAATTATTTTGTTTTTGAATTTATGTACAGTCTACTGGTGGTGAGGCATTACCAAATAGATATAATACTGGATTAGAACTTCTTATCATATGTAATCTTGGGCTGTTCCTTATCTTCTATCTTCCCTGCTGTTTCCAAAGATGTTGTGAAGAATTAGTAAGAAAATATTTTAAGACATTATGAGCTTCAGGAAGACATGACTCAAAAGATACTGGGCAGAAATGGTAAGTCTGTAATGATAAAACCTTAAAAAGTAGTAGTAGCCCTAAATAATGTATTAATGTAATACTATCTCAGTAAAAAATGCAACCAGATTTTTTTTTTGAAACAAAAGAAACTTATTTCTCAAATTCATAGAGAAAAAAATTAAAACAGCCAGGGAATTTCTTAGGGGAAGAGCAATGAGGGTGATTAGACCCTAACTATAAAGTAAATATACTTTACTATAAAGTAAATATACTATAAAGTAAATATGCATACTCTAAAGCTCCTGTGATCAAAACTGCAGTAAGAGTGTATGAAGAGACAAGAGAGAACAATAAAATAAACCAGAAAGCCCAGAAATGCATCCAATAGACAAATTTAGTATATGATAAAGAAGACATTTTGAATCATTCAGTGAGAAGAGTCAAAGTATAAGAGACACTTTTACTATAAGATTGAGAGGAAAAAAAAGTAATCAAGAAAATTAACATGCTCTGATGGTCAGGGTACGAGCAAACAGGTTTTTGTTTTTATTTCTGTTTTTTGTTTGACAGGGACAACGAGAGAGGGCATACAAGCAGGGAGAACGGGAGCGGGAGAAGCAGGCTTCCCACTGAGCGGGGAGCCGGAGGCAGGGCTCTATCCCAGGACCCTGGGATCATGACCTGAGCCACAGGCAGATGCCCAACGACTGAGCCACCCAGGCACCCCTAAACAGGTATTTTCAAATAATTGCTAGTGGAAACATGCACAGGCACAACACTTTTGGAGAGCAGTTTGGCAGTAGCTATCAAAATTGAGAATGCTCATACCTTTTAACTCAGCAATTTGCTTTTACTCATTTACCCTTCAAATATTCTCTTATATGCAAAATGACCTATGTATAAAGTAATTCATTGCAGAAATGTTGGTGAGAACCAAAAGTTAGAGGCAATGTAAGTGTCCACTGATTAGGATTTAAATAAATGATGATGCCTTCGTAAAGTGGAATGATGTGCAGCATAAAGATAAGGCAGTCCTGTTTGTGCAGATGTGGAAAAATCCCCAAGCTATATGGTTAAGTGGAAACCAAAATGCAGAGCAGTGTGTATAGAATGTGGAATGTGGAGTGTACAGAATGTATACTTGGGGAGAGGGGGATAGTATATCTTTCAGATAAGGAACTAGTTCTAATGGTTTCAAACCTCTGCAAAAGAGAGTAAGTAAGGGAGTATTGAACAATATAAATATGATTATTATCCCAGAGGTGGACATTGGAAGATTTAGAATGTAAGAAACAGGAAAGAAATGTCTTACCCAGACATTTAGAGGAATAAAGGGTCAGAATCTCTCTCTTTTTTTTTTTAAAGATTTTATTTATTTATTTGTCGGAGAGAGAGAGAGAGAGAAAGCACAAGTAGGCAGAGTGGGAGGCAGGGAGAGAGGAGGAAGCAGGCTCCCCGCTGAGCAGAGAGCCCGATGTGGGGCTCGATCCCAGGACCCTGAGATCATGACCTGAGCTGAAGGCAGCGGCTTAACCCACTGAGCCACCCAGGCACCCCCGAGGGTCAGAATCTCTTAAAAGGACAATTTAACTATCTGTCTCAGTGTTCTGAAAGAGCTTCAGTAACTAATTGATAGCCCAGAGATGGCTTTAAGTCAGCCTAGTAATTTAATAACTTTAAAAAATCATAATGCTTGCCCATGAATCCAGACTTTTGAGTGATCCAAACACTTTAGGAATAGTATCCAAATATGCCCAGTGGGACTTAGATTACCACTTTCTCATAGGGCCCAGGAACTCCATAAATGAGTCTGTCATTTTGTACCATTTTTACCTTTGGACTGTTTGTTTCTTTTAGGTAGTGACTAATGTTAGGCAAGGGGGAGAACGTAACTCAGATGGCTATGAAATCTGGTCCCTTCTTTGATGGAGAAGAGGCAAATTATGTAAGACCAAAACTCACTGTAGCCACTTCTGCCTTCTAAGGACAACAGAATTGTAGCTCCTACCAGTGAGGAAATATCAGCCCCCTACTTCACACAGAGGCCAAAAAGAAGTCTTTGCTAGCACTGTTACTGCTGGCATCCTCAAGGTTCACAGTCTCTTAGATGAGCCATTGTTTGCCAAAACATACCAGTGAGTTTTGGGATACGCAAAGGCAAGCCTGGAAAAGATCAGAATAGTTCAGCATGTAAAAAGAACTGAACTGATGCATAAGGAGCCCCAGAGCCCTAGTAAACTGAAGGTGAGAATATACCAAGAGGGGATCAAAGGGAAAGGGAAATCAAGCCAACTTCTGTAAAATGTGCTCCATATGTAAATGACTTATGCAAATTGATAAGGTAAGGTGGGGGGGAAGGGCTGCTAGTCATCGTCCTGTGGGGACAAAGCAATGCACAATACTAACAGCATGCGGTTAGGCAAACCATCAGATAAACGAAATCTCCAAATTAATTAATTCTCCAAATCTCAAGGGAACTGGAGAATACATAAATTACCCAGATTTCCTTAAGGAAGAACACAGGAGCTCAAGCTAATTTCCTTTGAATTTCAAAGAAGGTAACCCAGCTGACATCTGAGTTACGCCTCCTCCCTCCACTCAAGACCTGCACAGTGAGATTGTGAAATAGGCCAATACACTTACTACATCAAAAGCATTAAGCAGGCACAAAGGCAAGTACTTAGAATGCCCCACTCCTTCCTCTAAGAAGAGAGTTTTAGACATTTCACCTAACCCAATCTCCAACTCTTGGTCAGGAAACCAGACTTTTTAAAACCTCTCATTTCTCCTGAGAGCTTTAAAATAACTTGCTTCCTCCAAAGAACTTCCTAAATTCTTCCTAAGAATTTACTCATAAAAACGTTTCCATGGTTTTTTCTAGTACTCTCATGGGTTCATTTGTTACCATTTATATCTGTCAATCTATCTCAAATTTATTCTGAGATATAGAGGGAAGTTTTTTTTTTTTTTTACATAGTCACTCAGTTAACTGTCCAGCTATTTACTGAATAATCAATCAATCAATCCTTTTTATTGAATCAATCAAAGCCACTTTCATCATGCTAAAATTCTTCACAAGTTTTTTTCCGGATTCTGGAATCTATTCCATTGACTTTGATGGCAAGGGAAAATTCTTCATCTACCCTCAAGTTCTTCCAGATGTACTAATTAATTTATCTGAGACGGTTAACAGAAGGAAAAACCAAATTTTTGTTACATGCAAAAAGAGGTCCAATAATGAAATTGAGAGCCAAAGAAATGACTAAGGCAGGCAGGTTTTTTTGTTTGTTTTTTCAAAGATTTTATTTAGTTATTTGACAGACAGATCACAAGTAGACAGAGAAGCAGGCGGAGAAGGAAGCAGGTTCCCTGCTGAGCAGAGAGCCTGATGCAAGACTCCATCCCAGGACCCTGGGATCATGACCTGAGCTGAAGGCAGAGGCTTAAGCCACTGAGCCACCCAGGCGCTCCTAAGGCAGGCAGTTTTTATCCATTTTAGACAAAGGGACAATAGATCTGTGATGAATTTACAGTTAAGGAAAAGAGGTGTTTGGGAACTTTAATTCCTAAGGAATTCTAGCAGAATTTAGGCTGAGGAAGTCAATTAGTGAAAAAGTAGCAAAGCTTACTTACAGCTTTCTTGACTTTAAGGTCCCTATTTCTGTTGATAAGGATGTCTTTTTACTTCTTAATACAGGGAGGCTATTTTTCATAAGGGAGATTTGTTTTCTGCTTTCAGGGGAACAGAGAAGGGCCTGAGTGTCCTTGTCCTAGTTTTTTCCCAAATAGATTAAATTCAAAATAATCAGTATGCCACTGCAGTACGTCTGAGGGCAGCCTGCCCTGGGCCCTTATAACTTCCTTTACAAAACACCCATTTAGATGCAGTTTCATGTTACACTACCTTGTAAAATTGGTTTCCCCCCATTATTCTCCTTTTTTGTTTTTTTAAAGTAAGTTTCTTACTTAGCAAAACGATTTTTGCTTTCGAATAAGAACTTTATTTTTTTTCCAATAAGAAATTTAAAATCAGTTTTTCTACTTCTAAAAATTTTCTTTTGGTGTTTTCATTGATATTGTGTTAAATTTCTAGATTATTTGAGGAGATACAGAAATCCATTCAAGAATTTTAGAAAGTTTTCTTTGTATGAATTCTGAACATTTCTCAATTTTATCCTGAACTATTTTGACTTTTTTGTTGTCATTATTATATGGCATTTTTCCCCATTATGTTTTCTGGGTGGTGGTGTTTATAAAAGTCTAACCCATATGAAACTGCCATTTCTGTAAGTCAAAAAAGGTTAGTTAAATATTGGCAATCTCATATAGCTTTCCTAATAGCAATGCTAATGATTCTTTTATGTTTACTTTATTCATAATTACCATAGCGAATACTCATGTTGCTTATCATACTTTTTCAGGTGATTTTCTTGGGCTTTTCAGCTATATAATCATATTACCTATAAACAATGATTAATTTTAACCATACCATTACAATCTAATTTTTATACCTCTTATTTATTTCTCTTGTCTAATTGCATAGGCTGTTACCTCCAGGATGATGATTGGTTGGGTGTAGTGGTGAGGGTAACATCCTAGTATTTCTCTATACAGCATAGTCTTTCTGGTTCTATCGTGTGTGTGTGTGTGTGTGTGTGTGTGTGTGTGTGTGTGTGTGATATAAAATTATTATTCCTAGTTTATTTAGCATGTTAATCCAGAATGGTTGAAATTTTCAAGTGCTTTTTTAGCATATATGGAGATGACCCTCTGATTTTTCTCTTTTTAAGCACTAATATGGTGAGTTATATAGAGATATTTCTTAAAATGGAATCATCTTTGCAGTCTTTATATAAATCCTACTTTACCAAGGTGTGCTCTTCTTTTTGTGTTGAATCTTTTTGCTAATACACTCTTTGGAGTCTGTGCATTGATATTTATAGGTGCCTTTGATCTGTAGGTTATTTTTTGTATTACTTTTGTTGAGTTTTGGTATCAATTATAGGCTGACTTCATCATGAGGATCTGGGGGTGTTTCTTTCTTTTCTGCATACTCTAAAACATTTGGTGTCCTCTATTACTTAAAAGTGGGTAGAATTTACTGGTAAAATAATCTGTGATGTAGGAATTATTTATTTGTTTACTCTTGGTAGGGAGGTTAACAGTTCTCCATATTTCTCTCAGTAATTACTGTGTTTCGATTGTCTCTCTCTTCTGGGGACAGTATTGGCAATTAATATTTCACTAGAAATTCACCCATTTTGTGCATTTAAAATTTTGTAAAATTTTGTAAAAAGCTGAGCAAAATCAGCTTTTAGAAGTCTTTTAATTTCTCCCATATCTGTGGTTATTAATCCATTTCCAATTCCTATTTTTAGTATGTATGCTTTTCTCCATTAAAAAGAAAATGGGTTGGGTGCCTGCGTGACTCAGTGGTTAAGCCTCTTCCTTCAGCTCAGGTCATGATCTCAGGGTCCTGGGATTGAGCCCCACATCAGGCTCTCTGCTCAGCAGGGAGCCTGATCCCCCTCTCTCTCTGCCTGCCTCTCTGCCTACTTGTGATCTCTCTCATTGTCAAATAAATAAATTTTTTTAAAAAACAGTAACATTAGGTGTGCCTGGTGGCTCAGTTAGTTAAGCAACTGCCTTCGGCTCAGGTCATGATCCTGAAATCCCAGGATTAAGTCCCACATCAGGCTCCTTGCTCAGCAGGGAGTTTGCTTCTCCCTCTGACCTCTCTACTCTCAGGCTCTTTCTCTCTCTCATGCTCTCTCCCTCTCTCATCTGCTCTCTCTCTCTCAGATAAATAAATAAATAAAATCTTTTTTTTTTTTTAAGTAACATTTTTAAAAAATGGGTTAATTATTAATATTGTTGGTTCTTGGATTTATTTACCAGTACTACCATTTCTCTGTTTTCTAATTCTTTATCTTTATGCATCCTTTCCTTTTGCTGTATTGAGTGTAATAATGCCATTTCCTGCATAGGTAGCATTTTGGAAGCTGCTTAAATAAATAAAAATTAATATGCCATTTCTCTTGCTCCCCCCAAATGAAGAATTATAAAAAGAGAGAGAGAGAATTAAGTTTTAAAGAGGGGAAATGGAATGAAGTCCTTAATTCTTTTTTTCTTCTAGGTAAATATCATTATAAACTTAACTGTCTTGTGATTTTTGATTTTGGAATTGTTGACAATTCATTTTTCCTAAGAAACAAACCTAGTATGACAACAGGAGTTAAAAGGATGCTGTTTTTATTGACTTTCTTTAAAATGGCATTCCTCTGTTCCTTTATTTCTTAATAAATGATTATGCAGTGGGTCAAGCTATAATAGAAAAATCAAGGAAAAATACATCCCCAGCTTCTCTCCCTGCCAGAAAGTTGCATTATCTATTAATTTGTTTAGATACCTAGCAAGTATTCCTTGTCTTTGTGTGGTTTTGGTATTATGAGCCAGGTAGTTCCATTCCTTTTGGTTCAGTTCAGTCCAGCAGTCCTTTGCTATGTGCGTTGCCTGTCCTAGGTGCTGGAGAGAAAATGCTCAATACCCACGCCTCCCCCTCTCCCCACCTCCCCACCCTCACAGTCTGTTCTTTTAGTACAGATTACTCTTCTAGCCTCAATCAGACTTTGCAGAGAGATGTGTTGCAAGACAGGACAGAGGGAAGGAGGAGTGGCTAAACCCAGATCATTGGCCATAACTATAAAAACAAGGAACAAAAGTTAAGCTGGTTGATATGCAAGCTCCGTAGTCAGCAGGATACTCACAGCAGTATTTCTTGTTGGAACCCTCAGGAGCCTGAATGAAGCTCTTGTTTGACTCTCTAAACCCTGCCAGTATTGAATCCCCTGACTGTATTCCCCGGGGAGAAGACTTGGTCCTGGGTGCTGTGCCAAGGAGAGTTGAAGGTGGGGAGGCCTTCATTTCCTCCTAACCTCTCTCAATTCTTGGTGCCAGGGGATCCTTAGGAGTGGTGGAACCAGTTTACATTCAAGCTTGCAAAAAGAGTTTAATTACGTTCAGGAGTTTTAATTTCTCAAAAATGTAAAATATCCTCAATTACTTCAGTTCTTACATTCCACATAAAAGTCAGAAGAAATATGCAAGTAATATATGCATATATAAGATTTATTATTTCATACCTGAGATAGTTAATTCAGAATAATCAACATTATTCTCAGGGATACTCTGATGATAGAAGCAGCCTTAGATTAATTATGAAGCTACCAGGAAGGACAGGGCTTGAGACTTACTACTCATTTGAAGATATTAGAAACCAGAAGGCAGAGCAAGAACAGGATATTATATAATAGGATACCTTTGGAATACTTCAGTACCTTTATTTTTTATTTTATTTTTTTATTTCAGCACATTTAGATCTTGTATTTTTTTATAATGAAAAAGGTGTCATCTGGAGTCTCAGAACAATAGTTTAGAAACACTGTTGGAGTAAAAAATATCTGTACCCTATGAAAAGGGGCCCCCAAAAGGAAAGTGTTAGTCTGATTGGAGCCTGGGAAATGGTCCCTACAAGGCTTATTCTACTGGTGATAGAAGTGAGTGTCCAAACAACACTCACTTCTCATCCTTGTTCCATCTGAACACTCACAGCCCTCACTTTCTCTCGTCTTTTGTGATATACACACAGAGCTCAATATTGGTGTGGGGGACATTGTTTTATTTCTAAGGTCATTTTGCATCTGCCTTTGTATCATTACACTTTTATAAAATTATCTCAGTAGTCACATAATTTGAAAGAATCCTAGAACGTCCTCCCTACGGCTTTTGTAAGTTAAATTTCTCTAGCTTCTCATACAAAGACTCATCAACTTCCTGGTCACTCTTCCACTGTACATATTTTAATCTGTCCCCATTAGCCTTAGAAAACACTTTGAACAGAAAAATAAGACTCTAGTTGTAGTGAACCAGAGCAGAAGATTGAATAAGATGTCCTCTGACCATCTTTGTCCTGCCCGTTGTAGCCCTATGGCAGTCATGCCATTTTATTGACACCCATTGCATCATCGTTCAATATGTCTCTTTCATGTGAATTGCCAAGAGCCCAGGTCTTCTTAGTTGATTTTTGGATCCTGAACTCAGATATGTTGTATTTGACAAGGTTCTTGATTATAAATAACAGGAAGCAACTATGGTTCCTTAAGCAGAAGTGGAATGTATTTTGATTATCTGGCTCCTAGAATCAAAGAAAGGTAGAAATGAATCAGATAGGCCAAGGGAGGCAAGGCCCAGATGAATTTTCACCACAGGAGCAGGCTTCTCAGGACACGCCAGTTGTTAGTAGGGTATTCACTGCCCAGGACTGGCCTCACTACCACTGAACACCTACCATCCCTGTGCTGCATTCTGCTGGCATTAGACATGCCATCCTTCCAGACTACCCCCACCTTTCCCCCCGAAGAGCCACCCTGAAGCACACCTAATTGACCTGAGCCTTGTCATTACCCTTTAGGATATAAAGTCCCAGGTGACAGCATTTGATTAGCTGTCTTAGATCTTGTCCTTGCTTATGCTCCCAGGGGGATGGTTACCCTTTTAGTTTCCATGGTGGAAGAGAGGGATGCTTCCTTATCATCTTAGGATTCCTCCCAAATAGGAAAAAAGCTTTTAGATGCTGGGCAACCCAAATTATAAATACCTATTATGCATAAATTTTCATTTTGTTAATTTGGGTCCATCCTTTGCAAATAATAACTTTGAAGGAATGATTCT